AAAAAAAAAAAAAAAAACTTACATGTCTACTTATATTCATTTCATCTCATTAAAATTAGAAGTTAAAACTTAAGATTAATTACTTGAAGGTAAATGACAATGTTGAATTTTTGTGGTATCTCAAAAGGAAAAAAATTATGAGAAAAATTGGAAAAAACGTCTAAATAAATAATAAAAATAATAACGAGCTAATTAAATGGTTTTTAACTATTAATATTTTAATCTTTAAAAAATATTTAAGATAAAGCTAAAGCTTTATTTATTATGTCTTTTATACTTATACCTTCCATAAGGTAATTTTAAAGAAAAAATTAATAAAAATGTAAGTGAAAAATTAATAAAACATAAATAAACAACTGAGATTAATATAATATTCACACTTTAATAAGAAACATGTTAATGATAAAAACAAACAAGTCTAAATTATGATTAATGATTAATTATGTATCCATTAGTATGTATTTTCTAAGAAAAATATACATAAAAAATAAAAATACATGAGTGAAAAAAAGAGTACATGTAATTATTATTTTTAACAATATTCAGTAAATTATGCAGCATTTGTTATAAAGTTAATATATAATTAAAAAATATTTTGCAGCCCATTCGTGTGTTGCATAGAACAAAAACTTCTATCAAGCAAAGGTGACATTTATTTTTTTGTAAAAAGAAATGCTTTATCTAATTAAGAGTCATATTTTATTTTATTATTCAAAAATGCTTGATGTATATGAAGTTTTAATAGATCTAAAAACGAAACTATTATATGTCACTGTTATAGTTTAAATAGTTTTAATTCATCAGTTCAATACTTATTTGAAGAAATGTTACTTTTTATATATCCTTTTGCAAGTCCGATTGTTTTGAAAATTATATATATAAATAAAGAGTGGAGTTCTTTTAGTAACATGTACATAAAAATTTACCCTATAGTGTGTTCTATTTTTGTTTGCAATGATCATCTTAATGGTGTGAGCAAATGAAGATATTTCAATCGATCCTATAGGATGAGGACGATATAGCAACATAGTTTAGGATAAAATCCTATTGCGTATAACTCTTTCCTTTAGAAAAATTCTAGTTTATGTTGGTGCATATATATGACTTTCTATACTGATCATCACATGATAATGTGGATAACCGTAATATAATAGTTGTATAGTTGTTTCTTCTACTTGTTGATTATCATATTTATAATGTTTTATTTAGTAGTTATACACTATTAAATGAAATGTTACATTTTTTGTATTAGTGTAATTGTTCTTTAGGAAACCTATACGTTACAATGTGTAGTTTATGCTGTGTGCTCTCAGTTATGTTTGATTAGTATGTTAGTTTCTTTGAGTTAGACTGACAACTTTTATTTGTATAGGTAGAATTATGACATCTAGACCATCTCCTCTTCTTCTTCCAACTTTGGATATGTCAAATCTGACAAGAACAATTGAGTCTATAACAATAGTTCTTTATCAAAAGAGTGTTTCAATGATACATCAACACCAAATGATCCTAGAGTAGATGAAAGTTGATTGTTTAATAAGATTTTTTACAACAATTATATAATTGATTTTTTTTTTACTTTTGACGACTGTCTTAGCCTAATAATCATTGTTTTCTTTGTTTTTTTTTTTCATTTGATTTTTAATGATAATTCTCCTAAAATTTTCATAAAAAAATTATTTTATATACAAATTTGTCATCATGTCTTTTTCTAGAAGAATGACTTGTGTCTGTCATTAATTTAGTCATTAAATATTTTTTTTACGAATGAAAGAAAGTAATAAATTCAAATAAATATTAATAATTAATAGTGAGTTAGTGATTAATTTAAGTCATTAAATGATTTTGTTTGCTAATGAAAGAAAGCAGTAAATTTAAATAAATATTAATAATTTTAAATAGTAAGTTAGTGAAACGATCAGTTCTACCAATTTGAAGGATAAATACCAAAATAAAGATTATTAATAGATTTAATCTTATTAATTAAAATAATTAATTGTTTTAAAATGTGTAAATTATCCTATCCCAAGGAAAGGTGAACTAATTTTTAAGAGAATACTTGTCACTAAATAGGTTATTTAAGTAAGATCAACGTATTGGCAAGTAAGTAATTTGTGCAGATTAAGAACCACTAAAAATGGTAAAATTTTCCACGAGTCAAATTTGCACACATACTCCAAAATTTTCGAGTGTTTTGCACGAAAATATTTATTTCAAATGTATCATTGGATGTGTGTATCCTTCTAATTTAATTACACTTTTAATAAATTAATAATTAAAGTAATACGTGATAGACTAAATTATCTTGCTTAGGAAGCATGCTTACATTTCTTTCATTTAATGAAAATTTGACACAACAAAAAGGAATACACATGCTGAAATCACTACAAACCACTCTATTTAATAATAATTACTATACAAACTATATTAAAACTGATTTTTAATTAATTGATGTGTAAAATATCTTACATAAACAACTGTATCCAATGAATTTGAAGTTGGAAAAATATCCATTGAACTCATTTGGATAATTATTATTAATTTGCAAAATAATGTCAATTGTCTCCTCCTAATTGTGTCCATGCTAAAACAAAAATAAAAAATTGATAAAATCTTATTATTAATAAAATATTGAATTCAGCAATTTTTGTCTCATTGAATCACTCTTAGTTAACGGATTACACTCCTCACAATATTTTTAGTCGGCCAAATAGAACCCTATAAATAATAACAAGTTTTGACATGGTGTGGTTTGGTAACAATTGCAAGCTATCTAAACTATATAGAACCCTACAAATTTATCATAACCTATTTCTTTGTCCACATCACAATTTGTTTTCACCTTCAATACTTTCACCTACATAAACACTTCTCCCATGGCAATATTTTTCTGTGATGCCAAGTAGTAATATTTGCATCTCATCAGAGTGATTCCATGATTTGGAAGCCAAAAATGGTTCCAATTTCCTTGTACCACCATGTTAGTACATGTGAGTGAGAGTGGTTGATCACTGTTCCTATCAAAGTTCACTTGATTCATTTAGTGTTTGAAGAAAGGTCACAGAGAAACTGACTTAGAACTACAACACTGACAAAGGGAGCCATATTTTGATTGATATGACAATAGAAGAAGAAGGTGGTGTTGGAGGAGATGGTGTGAGGTCAAGGAATGAAGGAAGGAGGAGTTGTTCATCATCAGCGAGCAGAGATTTGGCCTCAGCAAGGTTTGATGAGGCAGTGAGTAGAGAGAGTGATGTGTTCCACAGAGGTGTAAGGGAAATAGAAGAAGAGGAGGAGCTGAAGTGGGAGGCTTTGAAAAGGCTTCCAACATATGATAGAATGAGGAGAGTCATTTTGAAGCAAGTTTTGGATAATGGAGGAGTGAACTATGAAGAGGTTGACATCACCAAGCTTGGAGTGCAGGAAAAGAAGCATCTCCTTGAAAACATAGTAGGAACTGCTGAAGAGAACAATGAGAGTTTCCTCCATAGGATGAGGGATAGAATTGATAGGTACCCTTTTGAATGTTTTGGTCCTATATACTCCATACACTTAAACATTTTCCTCTGTTTCTTTGATCTTAATTGCTTTTGTTGTTATAGGGTAAGCATTGAGATTCCCCAGATTGAAGTAAGGTATGAGAACTTATCAGTTGAAGGGGATGCATATGTTGGAAGAAGGGCACTACCAACACTCTTCAATTCTACCATCAATGCAATAGAGGTATGTTCAACAACAAACATAAGGTTGTTTTTCAATTACATGTTCTTAGTTTTTCCGATCATGATCAGTATTTTACACAGCCTAATATCCTAAACATGACATTCAATAGAGAAAGTATTCAGTGATTTCTTAACTGATGATTTTATCAGTTTTCTGTTCTGGTTTTTGCACACATGTAGATGAATTACATGCTTTGCATAACATGAGTCTGTTTTTTTCACAGGTATTGGTGAATTATCTTGTAAGTCTTCTGTTTGGAGTTTTGGGATTTCTTAAGCTTTTGCCTCAAAACACAAAGGTTGTGAAGATTCTTCAAGAAAAAGTTGTCAATATTCTCAAAGATATTAGTGGAATTGTGAAACCGTCAAGGTACCTAATTAGTGTATAATTTCAATCTTCATAATGTGCATCTTCTACAGGATCTTCTGTATCTCACTAGACATGATAAGGGTTTGATTCTATTCATTTTATTTTAGGAATATGTAGGATTTCAATACCTAAATAATAAGATTTTAAATTTTTTTATTCATTTTCATTTTTCTCAGATTTTTTTGGGTTCCAATATATTCAAAAGAACCCGTCACACAAAATTTTTAATTTTAATTTTTTTTTTTATATTTTTAAATAAATTATATTAAGTTATTAATTATATTTAAGTCTGTACAAGTTGATAGATAAACAAAATTAACACTAAGAATTAAATTATATTTTTAGTTAATTTATAATATTAAGTTTTTTGTTTAATTATTATTATTGTAATACAAATTATTTACCTACCAAACTAATTAATTCTTATTTTTAAAAATGATTAAACGTGATAGTTTAAAATAAAATATTTAATATATACGTTTGTGTAAATGGATGAATTCAATGCATCCAGTCATCTTGCTGCTTTTGTATAAAAAGTTTGGACAGTGCTAAAGTTGAAAAATGGACCACGGAGATCAATTCGAGAAGTGAAGTGATTTTTTTCCCCTATATTTAGTTTTTAAAATTTATGCCACGTAATTAAAATTAAATTTCAATTTTAATACATAATAATTTGATATACAAAGTACATAATTTGCCTATGTTTAACTAAAATATAATAATAATTATTTTTTAAATTTATAATTAATAACTTTGAAAACGATTTAGTGCGTAAATTTATGATTCCATCTACCTAAACTTAGAGGGACTACATAACACCAGACCTGATCAAAATTTATCAGTTTCAATTTACTTTATTATTTTTCTAATTTATTTCATGTTATTATACATATATGGATTAAACCTATTTTAGTGACTCTAAGTAATTTCCATATATGTAATTATTAAAAATGGTTATTCTTCATTAACGTCATGTTTCCATTTACGTATACAAATTCTAATAGTCCTCATATGTACCAATTTATGAATAAAAATTTGAACATGTTAACATCAAAAGGAGATGAGGATAGATCTTGTTTTGGTTAATGCATATTTTATTTAGTTTATTTTATAAAAACTATTTTTGTATCAAGTTTTTTATTTCAAAAAATTCTAAAATAAAATTTAAACATGTTCATAAATGGTTTAACGTAAAATTAATTTGTAGTATATAAATAAGAACAAATCTTATTTTATTAAGCTAAATTTTGTAAAATTGAGTATCTCAAAACTAATGATGTGATGTGAGTCATTTGTTAAATTTTTTTGGTAATTTGACAATTATGGCATTAGAAGTAAGATAATTATTGCTTAATAAAAAGACAACCAAGTAGGTAATTAATCCATTTATCTAATTTATTGCTAAGTCACTTTCAAATAATCCTTCACAAACTGTAGTACCTAATTGATTCTTTTGGTAACTAAATTTAACTTTCTTTCTGTCTCTGCAGAATGACTCTGCTTTTGGGACCTCCAGGATCAGGAAAAACTACATTTCTGAAGGCACTTGCTGGAAAAATGGACAATGATTTAAGGGTTACATATCCTCTTCTTCCCTTATTTTTATCAATAATCCATTTCTTTGGTGTTTAAAAAATTTTAATTTTTTTTATGGGAATTCATAGAAATACATAAAATAATAGAAAAATGCTCTTTTTGTCATCCCAATAAAAAAATAAAATTCTTTAGTACCCCAAGAATATATATCATGTTACAGTTTATTACACATTTGGTAATTAATGCCTTGAAAATTTTAAAAATTTGTTACACTGCTCAAATGCTTCCTCCATCACCCTATACACAAGACTCTTTTTACAAAAAATGTATGTTTAGTTTATATAATATAACATGCTTTGTTGTTTTGTATAGAAAACTCTACTAATGAGGGGTGTTCAGCAGGAAAGGATGATTTTGATTAATGTGTTGTTCACATCACTTTGATATTAAGAATGATTATGAATTGTAAAATACCTTTTTACATAGTTAAGTTGAGATTATAGAGTTGATTTGTTATATGAACTCCATGAGTGAATTTCTGGGCAGGTATCAGGAAGAGTCACTTACTGTGGTCATGAATTGTCAGAGTTTGTTCCTGAAAGAACATGTGCATATATCAGTCAGCATGATCTTCACTATGGAGAGATGACAGTGAGAGAGACACTGGACTTTTCTGGACGCTGCCTGGGAGTAGGAACAAGGTATGATATGCTGGAAGAGTTGTCGAGGCGGGAAATAGCAGCCGGCATTAAACCAGATCCTGAGATAGATGCTTTCATGAAAGCCACAGCAATGGAAGGTCAAGAAACAAGTCTTGTTACTGATTACGTTCTAAAGGTTTGGTCACACTTTGTTTTGAATCATTTTCCTTGTTAGTCACAGGTATAGGCCACCAAACTTCAAGTTCTGTCATCTAACTTTTTGAGCAATGCAACAGATTCTTGGATTGGAAATATGTGCTGATATTATGGTGGGAGATGAGATGAAAAGGGGCATTTCTGGTGGACAAAAGAAGCGTTTAACTACTGGTATGTGGATACGAAATTTCACTCACAAGCATCTTGTTATACCATAACATAAGAAGCACATACACTTCAAAGTTATGTTACATTCTTGTTGTGTCTGACGATTTCTAAAATGTGCACATTGTACTGTATTTGTGTCCTATGCTGTGCCTGTGGTTTCTAGACAATGGTCTAGATGATTATACCATGGAGTTTTGAGAGTAAAATTATGTATGTCATATTAGATTAGATTCCTTTGCAGAATCATCCATTTTGCAGTTCTCATAAACAAGAACTTACATAACATGAATGCAGGTGAGATGTTGGCAGGCCCTGCAAAAGCATTCTTCATGGATGAAATTTCAACTGGTTTGGATAGTTCCACAACCTTCCAAATTGTGAGGTTTATGAGGCAGATGGTCCATATAATGGATGTTACCATGATAATCGCTCTTCTGCAGCCTGCACCAGAAACATATGAACTGTTTGATGACATAATATTGCTTTCAGAAGGTGAGATTGTCTATCAAGGTCCCCGTGAGAGTGTTCTGCATTTTTTCGAAAGTGTGGGCTTCAAATGCCCAGAAAGGAAAGGAGTTGCAGACTTCTTACAAGAGGTAACTTCCAAAAAGGACCAAGAACAGTACTGGTTCAGAAGGGACATTCCTTACCATTATGTCACAGTGCCTGAGTTTGTAGCCCATTTCAAGAATTACAGTATCGGTCAGCAACTACATGAAAAGATTAAAGTTCCATATGATCCTAATGAAAGGCATCGTGCTGCATTGGTGAAGGAAAAGTATGGCATCTCCAAATGGGAACTCTTCAAGGCATGCTTTTCAAGAGAGTGGCTTTTGATGAAGCGCAACTATTTCTTATACATATTCAAGACTTTTCAGATTACTATAATGGCTCTGATTGCCATGTCAGTGTTTTTTAGAACAGAAATGAAACATGGTCAACTTGAAGGTGCAGGAAAATACTATGGTGCACTATTTTTCAGCCTCATTAATATAATGTTCAATGGAGTGGCTGAACTTTCAATGACAGTCATCAAACTTCCCATTTTCTATAAGCAGAGAGATTTCCACTTTTTTCCAGCATGGGCTTTTGCATTGCCCATTTGGGTTCTCAGAGTTCCTCTCTCTCTACTGGAATCAGGATTATGGGTCATCCTCACTTATTATACTATTGGCTTTGCTCCTGCAGCTAGTAGGTACGAGAATACAATATCTAGATACTGAGTTTCTCAATGGTACTGAAATGCAATAACTGGTTTACTCTTCCATCATTCGTTACTCCTTAGTTCTACTGACTTGAAAATTTTGTTTTATGTTGTATATTATAAACTTTCACAGGTTTTTTCGTCAGTTATTGGCATTCTTCTGGGTGAATCAAATGGCTCTGTCCCTATTCCGCTTTATTGCTGCAGTTGGAAGGACAAAAGTTATTGCACACACACTTGGTTCCTTCACAATATTAGTTGTTTTTGTCCTAAGTGGATTTACTGTTTCAAGAAGTAAGCAACAGTTATTCTTTATACTATCAATATCACATACTCCAGAGATTTAATAGTATCTCTTTCATATGAAATTGTCTCATTTAAACTGATTACTCCAACCTCTGTCCATTTATAGAGGATATTGGACCATGGATGATATGGTGCTATTATAGTTCACCTATGATGTATGGTCATAATGCAATAGCCATCAACGAGTTCCTAGACAAAAGATGGAGTGCTGTAAGATCTTAGTGTTTCTTTGATCTTATAAACACAAGATCATTATTAGTTTGTTGCTGATTCTTCACTTTTGACAGAAAAATATTGACCCAAGGATCCCTGAGCCCACAGTTGGGAAGGCTTTTCTTAATGCTAGAGGCATTTTTACAGAAGACTATTGGTACTGGATATCTGTGGCTGCCCTTATAGGATTTTCTTTGCTTTTCAACATTTTTTTCATTCTGGCTCTAACCTATTTGAATCGTAAGTTTCATTACTGTATTGCTTTGTGTTACATTACATGCTTAATACGATGTTTCTTATATTGTTCTAAAATTTCTTTCAAATAAAAAACAACATATTTTTCCTATTAGGTGGGTTCAGGTTACATGGATCATATGATGATACAACATAATTTCCTATGGTAGATAGGCAAATCATATAAATCTAAATCTTCTTAATAGAAGAATTTGTGATAGATTTTTATTTTTGAAGAAGTATAAACGAAGATTAGGAAGATGCTTATTTTTTAAACGTAACAAAAAAAAAAAAAAAACAGACAGAAAACCACATCAAGAGAGCATTGCTCCATGGTAGAAACTGACCATCCTAAAAACCATTCTATAGAAGCATCCTCTGATATTGCTTTGAAAACAAATTGCAGCGTTTGGAAATTCAAAAGCTATTATAATGGAAGATGAAGACCAAAAGAAAAGCACATTTGTTTCATCCTCAGTAGAAAATATGGCAACTGTAACCACAGAGCACAGTTCAGCTTCAGTTGGCAATTCGTTTGAAGGTAAAGTTTGATTTTCTCTTCAAATAATCCGCAACGAGATCATAAAAAGACAACATTCTCCGGTAAAAAAAATTGTCACTAGTATGTTGTATGTTAAATATAGCTTTTGTCTATACACCTAAATGTTTGAGTAATGTGCCATTCACATATATTGGAAATAAACACAAAGACAGTTGTAATTATTACAGGTATTGATATGGAAGTAAGAAAAAGTGCTCATAGCTCAATTCCTAAAGCTCCAGTGAATACAAAATCCAAGAAGGGAATGGTGCTGCCATTCAGGCCTCTGTCACTTGCATTTCAAGATGTGAATTATTACATCGATATGCCACTTGTAACCTCCAATTCCCTCCTCTAGTACCACTTCAATCATACCCTCTAATTCTAGATAAAATTTTATACAATTATTTTTTTTATCATTTTCTTTGATCTTTTGCATTTTCCTGCCCATGCCAGATTTTCCCCCTTACACTGAAACAAAATTTCACCATGATTCCATAATTAGCAGTTGTGTGTGTGTGTGTCTAAATGAGACAATTGACACCAAGAGTCAAATGCACTTACACCACGTAATAACTTTCTGTAGAATATAAAATTAACCAATCTAACTGCACATAGAAACGAACTGCATAGAGACCTTCAAAAGGATAACAGTTTGTGTAATGGAATGATCTAACTCAAAACAGTAAGTTCGTGAAATTATATAGTGATGTTACCACTTGAACATGTTCAAAAGTCAGTTTGGTAATTTGTTGTCAGGAAATGAAGAAACAAGGAATTGAAGAGAATAAACTCCAACTACTTAGAGACATAAGTGGTGCTTTCAGGCCTGGGATTTTAACAGCATTAGTTGGTGTAAGTGGTGCTGGGAAAACCACCTTGATGGATGTTCTTGCAGGAAGGAAAACAGGTGGTTATATTGAGGGGAGCATCAGCATATCTGGTTATCCCAAAAACCAGGCAACGTTTGCTCGGATCAGTGGTTACTGTGAACAAAATGATATACATTCCCCAAACGTTACAGTCTACGAATCGCTGGTGTTTTCTGCTTGGCTGCGTCTCAGTAACGAGGTTAATAAGGAAACAAGAAAGGTATTTTCTTTAAGCAGTTTTCATGTTAAACTTCCTAGCATTGGCTCTTTAGGTGTCTGTCTACTTTGAAATGTCACAGTCTACTAATTTAGTTCCTATTTTTCAGATGTTCATTGAAGAAATTTTAGAGCTGGTTGAGCTCCACTCATTGAGGCATTTTATAGTAGGCCTTCCTGGAATAAATGGCTTATCAACGGAGCAGAGAAAGAGGCTCACCATTGCTGTAGAATTGGTTGCAAATCCTTCCATTATTTTTATGGATGAACCAACAACCGGTTTAGATGCTAGAGCTGCAGCAGTTGTTATGCGTACTGTCAGAAATACAGTGGATACAGGTCGAACTGTTGTCTGCACAATTCATCAACCAAGCATTGATATATTTGAAAATTTTGATGAGGTGAATACTGAAATCTATTTAGCAGTAAAACCCCACAAGAGTTTTATAAAGTCAATGTCTAAAAAACTATTGAAATCTTGGGAACTAATATAGGAGTTATTTTTTTGTTATGGTTTTTAAGGCATGATACTCACTCACCCTTGAATTACATCTTTATGTCAGCTGCTTTTGATGAAGATAGGTGGACAAGTGATATATGGTGGTCCCCTTGGTCGGAATTCTCAGAATCTTATTGAGTACTTTGAGGTAAACCTCTGCTGTTATAATGTCTAAATTCTTGAATCAGTATGTGCCAGTAATCTCACTAATTGTGAATGAATCATTCAAAGGGTATCACAGGAGTTCCTAAGATTAAAGATGGATATAATCCAGCCACATGGATGCTGGAGATCACTGCTTCTGTTTTTGAGTCTCAACTTAATGTGGACTTTGCAGAATTATATGCTAAGTCAGACCTTTATCAGTAAGTGGCACTAGTGATTGTTTTTCTAGGATTCCTGCTTCTTGTCCAAATTTATCTGTACTTTCTCATGATGTTTTACACAGAAACTTTGATAACCCTTTTCCAGAAAGAACCAGGAACTTATTCAGGAAATATGCACACCAGTACCTGGAACAAAGGACCTTTACTTTCCCACTAAATACTCTCAGTCATTTGTTTCTCAATGTAAAGCTTGCTTCTGGAAGCAGAATTGCTCCTATTGGAGGAATCCAGAGTATAATGCCATCCGATTATTCGTCACAATAGTTATTGGTATCATTTTTGGACTTATTTATTGGGACAAAGGAAAAAAGACGTAAGTTGAAAAGCAATTTCACTGCTTGATTAGTACTTGTTTACATCTACATTATTTCCAACTTAAAAAAACAATGACACGGTTTTATCCAAGAGAACTTACCATTTTTGTGCACCATATGCTTACCCCAAGATACCATTCCTGGAAAAACTAGATTTTGTGAGGAACTACATATTTCGGAACCTAAATGGTGTTGTAGGCCTTTGAACAGATACTTCAACTATATAGTTGAAGAATGAACATGTTTTCTGTCCATGGTAACAATTGCATATAATTTAGATAGGTAACAATAAGACCATAAAAAAGAACTCTTGTTTGTGCATGATAAAAAATTGACAGTAAATATAATTTGTACAGTGAAAAGGAGCAGGACCTGTTGAATCTCCTTGGAGCTATTTATGCATCAGTATTTTTCCTTGGAGCCTCCAACACTAACAGTGTTCAACCTGTTGTAGCAATAGAAAGAACCGTTCTATACCGTGAAAGAGCCGCAGGAATGTACTCAGAATTGCCTTATGCAATTGGTCAGGTAGAAGAAAGCATCTATTAAATAAATTATCAAAGTTGGACAATTCATTAAGAAAAAGTACTGATTTTGCAGGTAGCAATCGAAGTAATTTATGTTGGAACTCAGAGTCTAGCCTATTCCATTATTCTCTACTTGATGATTGGGTTTGAACCACGTTTTGAAAATTTTTTGTGGTTCTATTACTTCATATTCATGTGCTTTATGTACTTCACACTGTATGGAATGATGACTGTAGCTCTGACACCAAACTATCAAATTGCTGCAATTGTTATGTCCTTCTTCATCAATTTCTGGAACCTGTTCTCTGGTTTTCTTATCCCAAGAACGGTATGTATGTCTATTACAACAGTTATCACACACACATGTATTCATAATATATATATATATATATATATATATATATATATATATATATATA